AAGCAGTGGTATCAACGCAGAGTACTATGCCTTGACACGCATTCATAGGCCTTGACACTTATTCGTAGGCCTTGGCACGCACTCGTAGGCCTTGACACGCACTCGTAGGCCTTGACACTCATTCGTAGGCCTTGACACGCACTCGTAGGCCTTGACACGCATTCGTAGGCCTTGACACGCACTCGTAGGCCTTGACACGCACTCGTAGGCCTTGACACGCATTCATAGGCCTTGGCACGCACTCGTGGGCCTTGACACTCACTCGTAGGCCTTGACACGCACTCGTAGGCCTTGACACTCATTCGTAGTCCTTGACACTCATTCGTAGGCCTTGACACGCACTCGTAGGCCTTGACACGCACTCGTAGGCCTTGACACGCAATCGTAGGCCTTGATACTCATTCGTGGGCCTTGACACGCATTCGTAGGCCTTGACACGCATTCATAGGCCTCGACTCTCATTCGTAGGCCTTGACACGCATTCGTAGGCCTTGACACGCACTCGTAGGCCTTGGCACGCACTCGTAGGCCTTGACACGCATTCATAGGCCTTGACACTCATTCGTGGGCCTTGACACGCATTCGTAGGCCTTGACACGCATTCATAGGCCTTGACTCTCATTCGTAGGCCTTGACTCTCATTCGTAGGCCTTGACACGCACTCGTAGGCCTTGACACGCACTCGTAGGCCTTGACACTCATTCGTAGGCCTTGACACGCACTCGTAGGCCTTGACAGGCATTCGTAGGCCTTGACACGCACTCGTAGGCCTTGACACGCACTCGTAGGCCTTGACACGCACTCGTAGGCCTTGACACGCACTCGTAGGCCTTGACACGCATTCATAGGCCTTGACACGCACTCGTAGGCCTTGACACGCACTCGTGGGCCTTGACAATCATTCGTAGGCCTTGACACGCACTCGTGGGCCTTGACACGCACTCGTAGGCCTTGACACGCCACTCGTAGGCCTTGACACGCACTCGTAGGCCTTGACACGCACTCGTAGGCCCTTGACACTCATTCGAGGGCCTTGACACGCACTCGTAGGCCTTGACACGCACTCGTGGGCCTTGACACGCATTCATAGGCCTTGACACGCACTCGTAGGCCTTGACACGCACTCGTGGGCCTTGACACTCACTCGTAGGCCTTGACACGCACTCGTAGGCCTAGGCCTTGACACGCACTCGTGGGCCTTGACACGCACTCGTGGGCCTTGACACGCATTCATAGGCCTTGTCACTCATTCGTAGGCCTTGACACGCATTCATAGGCCTTGACACGCACTCGTAGGCCTTGACACGCACTCGTGGGCCTTGACACTCACTCGTAGGCCTTGACACTCACTCGTAGACCTTGACACGCACTCGTAGGCCTTGATACTCATTCGTGGGCCTTGACACGCATTCGTAGGCCTTGACACGCATTCATAGGCCTCGACTCTCATTCGTAGGCCTTGACACGCATTCGTAGGCCTTGACACGCACTCGTAGGCCTTGGCACGCACTCGTAGGCCTTGACACGCATTCATAGGCCTTGACACTCATTCGTGGGCCTTGACACTCACTCGTAGGCCTTGACACGCACTCGTAGGCCTAGGCCTTGACACGCACTCGTGGGCCTTGACACGCACTCGTGGGCCTTGACACTCACTCGTAGGCCTTGACACGCACTCGTAGGCCTAGGCCTTGACACGCACTCGTGGGCCTTGACACGCACTCGTGGGCCTTGACACGCATTCATAGGCCTTGTCACTCATTCGTAGGCCTTGACACGCATTCATAGGCCTTGACACGCACTCGTAGGCCTTGACACGCACTCGTGGGCCTTGACACTCACTCGTAGGCCTTGACACTCACTCGTAGACCTTGACACGCACTCGTAGGCCTTGATACTCATTCGTGGGCCTTGACACGCATTCGTAGGCCTTGACACGCATTCATAGGCCTCGACTCTCATTCGTAGGCCTTGACACGCATTTGTAGGCCTTGACACGCACTCGTAGGCCTTGGCACGCACTCGTAGGCCTTGACACGCATTCATAGGCCTCGACACTCATTCGTGGGCCTTGACACTCACTCGTAGGCCTTGACACGCACTCGTAGGCCTAGGCCTTGACACTCATTCGTAGGCCTTGACACGCACTCGTAGGCCTTGACACGCATTCGTAGGCCTTGACACGCACTCGTAGGCCTTGACACGCACTCGTAGGCCTTGACACGCATTCATAGGCCTTGACACGCACTCGTGGGCCTTGACACTCACTCGTAGGCCTTGACACGCACTCGTAGGCCTTGACACTCATTCGTAGGCCTTGACACTCATTCGTAGGCCTTGACACGCAGTCGTAGGCCTTGACACGCACTCGTAGGCCTTGACACGCACTCGTAGGCCTTGACACGCAATCGTAGGCCTTGATACTCATTCGTGGGCCTTGACACGCATTCGTAGGCCTTGACACGCATTCATAGGCCTCGACTCTCATTCGTAGGCCTTGACACGCATTCGTAGGCCTTGGCACGCACTCGTAGGCCTTGACACGCATTCATAGGCCTTGACACTCATTCGTGGGCCTTGACACGCATTCGTAGGCCTTGACACGCATTCATAGGCCTTGACTCTCATTCGTAGGCCTTGACACGCACTCGTAGGCCTTGACACGCATTCATAGGCCTTGACACTCATTCGTAGGCCTTGACTCGCATTCATAGGCCTTGACACGCACTCGTAGGCCTTGACACGCATTCATAGGCCTTGACACTTATTCGTAGGCCTTGACACGCACTCGTAGGCCTTGACACGCACTCGTAGGCCTTGACACTCATTCGTAGGCCTTGACACGCACTCGTAGGCCTTGACAGGCATTCGTAGGCCTTGACACGCACTCGTAGGCCTTGACACGCACTCGTAGGCCTTGACACGCACTCGTAGGCCTTGACACGCACTCGTAGGCCTTGACACGCATTCATAGGCCTTGACACGCACTCGTAGGCCTTGACACGCACTCGTGGGCCTTGACACTCATTCGTAGGCCTTGACACGCACTCGTGGGCCTTGACACGCACTCGTAGGCCTTGACACGCACTCGTAGGCCTTGACACGCACTCGTAGGCCTTGACACGCACTCGTAGGCCTTGACACTCATTCGTGGGCCTTGACACGCACTCGTAGGCCTTGACACGCACTCGTGGGCCTTGACACGCATTCATAGGCCTTGACACGCACTCGTAGGCCTTGACACGCACTCGTGGGCCTTGACACTCACTCGTAGGCCTTGACACTCACTCGTAGGCCTTGACACGCACTCGTAGGCCTAGGCCTTGACACGCACTCGTGGGCCTTGACACGCACTCGTGGGCCTTGACACTCACTCGTAGGCCTTGACACGCACTCGTAGGCCTAGGCCTTGACACGCACTCGTGGGCCTTGACACGCACTCGTGGGCCTTGACACGCATTCATAGGCCTTGTCACTCATTCGTAGGCCTTGACACGCATTCATAGGCCTTGACACGCACTCGTAGGCCTTGACACGCACTCGTGGGCCTTGACACTCACTCGTAGGCCTTGACACTCACTCGTAGACCTTGACACGCACTCGTAGGCCTTGATACTCATTCGTGGGCCTTGACACGCATTCGTAGGCCTTGACACGCATTCATAGGCCTCGACTCTCATTCGTAGGCCTTGACACGCATTTGTAGGCCTTGACACGCACTCGTAGGCCTTGGCACGCACTCGTAGGCCTTGACACGCATTCATAGGCCTCGACACTCATTCGTGGGCCTTGACACTCACTCGTAGGCCTTGACACGCACTCGTAGGCCTAGGCCTTGACACTCATTCGTAGGCCTTGACACGCACTCGTAGGCCTTGACACGCATTCGTAGGCCTTGACACGCACTCGTAGGCCTTGACACGCACTCGTAGGCCTTGACACGCATTCATAGGCCTTGACACGCACTCGTGGGCCTTGACACTCACTCGTAGGCCTTGACACGCACTCGTAGGCCTTGACACTCATTCGTAGGCCTTGACACTCATTCGTAGGCCTTGACACGCAGTCGTAGGCCTTGACACGCACTCGTAGGCCTTGACACGCACTCGTAGGCCTTGACACGCAATCGTAGGCCTTGATACTCATTCGTGGGCCTTGACACGCATTCGTAGGCCTTGACACGCATTCATAGGCCTCGACTCTCATTCGTAGGCCTTGACACGCATTCGTAGGCCTTGGCACGCACTCGTAGGCCTTGACACGCATTCATAGGCCTTGACACTCATTCGTGGGCCTTGACACGCATTCGTAGGCCTTGACACGCATTCATAGGCCTTGACTCTCATTCGTAGGCCTTGACACGCACTCGTAGGCCTTGACACGCATTCATAGGCCTTGACACTCATTCGTAGGCCTTGACTCGCATTCATAGGCCTTGACACGCACTCGTAGGCCTTGACACGCATTCATAGGCCTTGACACTTATTCGTAGGCCTTGACACGCACTCGTAGGCCTTGACACGCACTCGTAGGCCTTGACACTCATTCGTAGGCCTTGACACGCACTCGTAGGCCTTGACAGGCATTCGTAGGCCTTGACACGCACTCGTAGGCCTTGACACGCACTCGTAGGCCTTGACACGCACTCGTAGGCCTTGACACGCACTCGTAGGCCTTGACACGCATTCATAGGCCTTGACACGCACTCGTAGGCCTTGACACGCACTCGTGGGCCTTGACACTCATTCGTAGGCCTTGACACGCACTCGTGGGCCTTGACACGCACTCGTAGGCCTTGACACGCACTCGTAGGCCTTGACACGCACTCGTAGGCCTTGACACGCACTCGTAGGCCTTGACACTCATTCGTGGGCCTTGACACGCACTCGTAGGCCTTGACACGCACTCGTGGGCCTTGACACGCATTCATAGGCCTTGACACGCACTCGTAGGCCTTGACACGCACTCGTGGGCCTTGACACTCACTCGTAGGACTTGACACTCACTCGTAGACCTTGACACGCACTCGTAGGCCTTGATACTCATTCGTGGGCCTTGACACGCATTCGTAGGCCTTGACACGCATTCATAGGCCTCGACTCTCATTCGTAGGCCTTGACACGCATTCGTAGGCCTTGACACGCACTCGTAGGCCTTGGCACGCACTCGTAGGCCTTGACACGCATTCATAGGCCTTGACACTCATTCGTGGGCCTTGACACTCACTCGTAGGCCTTGACACGCACTCGTAGGCCTAGGCCTTGACACGCACTCGTGGGCCTTGACACGCACTCGTAGGCCTTGACACTCATTCGTAGGCCTTGACACGCACTCGTAGGCCTTGACACGCATTCGTAGGCCTTGACACGCACTCGTAGGCCTAGGCCTTGACACTCATTCGTAGGCCTTGACACGCACTCGTAGGCCTTGACACGCATTCGTAGGCCTTGACACGCACTCGTAGGCCTTGACACGCACTCGTAGGCCTTGACACGCATTCATAGGCCTTGACACGCACTCGTGGGCCTTGACACTCACTCGTAGGCCTTGACACGCACTCGTAGGCCTTGACACTCATTCGTAGGCCTTGACACTCATTCGTAGGCCTTGACACGCAGTCGTAGGCCTTGACACGCACTCGTAGGCCTTGACACGCACTCGTAGGCCTTGACACGCAATCGTAGGCCTTGATACTCATTCGTGGGCCTTGACACGCATTCGTAGGCCTTGACACGCATTCATAGGCCTCGACTCTCTTTCGTAGGCCTTGACACGCATTCGTAGGCCTTGACACGCACTCGTAGGCCTTGGCACGCACTCGTAGGCCTTGACACGCATTCATAGGCCTTGACACTCATTCGTGGGCCTTGACACGCATTCGTAGGCCTTGACACGCATTCATAGGCCTTGACTCTCATTCGTAGGCCTTGACACGCACTCGTAGGCCTTGACACGCATTCATAGGCCTTGACACTCATTCGTAGGCCTTGACTCGCATTCATAGGCCTTGACACGCACTCGTAGGCCTTGACACGCATTCATAGGCCTTGACACTTATTCGTAGGCCTTGACACGCACTCGTAGGCCTTGACACGCACTCGTAGGCCTTGACACTCATTCGTAGGCCTTGACACGCACTCGTAGGCCTTGACAGGCATTCGTAGGCCTTGACACGCACTCGTAGGCCTTGACACGCACTCGTAGGCCTTGACACGCACTCGTAGGCCTTGACACGCACTCGTAGGCCTTGACACGCATTCATAGGCCTTGACACGCACTCGTAGGCCTTGACACGCACTCGTGGGCCTTGACACTCATTCGTAGGCCTTGACACGCACTCGTGGGCCTTGACACGCACTCGTAGGCCTTGACACGCACTCGTAGGCCTTGACACGCACTCGTAGGCCTTGACACGCACTCGTAGGCCTTGACACTCATTCGTGGGCCTTGACACGCACTCGTAGGCCTTGACACGCACTCGTGGGCCTTGACACGCATTCATAGGCCTTGACACGCACTCGTAGGCCTTGACACGCACTCGTGGGCCTTGACACTCACTCGTAGGACTTGACACTCACTCGTAGACCTTGACACGCACTCGTAGGCCTTGATACTCATTCGTGGGCCTTGACACGCATTCGTAGGCCTTGACACGCATTCATAGGCCTCGACTCTCATTCGTAGGCCTTGACACGCATTCGTAGGCCTTGACACGCACTCGTAGGCCTTGGCACGCACTCGTAGGCCTTGACACGCATTCATAGGCCTTGACACTCATTCGTGGGCCTTGACACTCACTCGTAGGCCTTGACACGCACTCGTAGGCCTAGGCCTTGACACGCACTCGTGGGCCTTGACACGCACTCGTAGGCCTTGACACTCATTCGTAGGCCTTGACACGCACTCGTAGGCCTTGACACGCATTCGTAGGCCTTGACACGCACTCGTAGGCCTTGACACGCAATCGTAGGCCTTGACACGCAATCGTAGGCCTTGATACTCATTCGTGGGCCTTGACACGCATTCGTAGGCCTTGACACGCATTCATAGGCCTCGACTCTCATTCGTAGGCCTTGACACGCATTCGTAGGCCTTGACACGCACTCGTAGGCCTTGGCACGCACTCGTAGGCCTTGACACGCATTCATAGGCCTTGACACTCATTCGTAGGCCTTGACACGCACTCGTAGGCCTTGACAGGCATTCGTAGGCCTTGACACGCACTCGTAGGCCTTGACACGCACTCGTAGGCCTTGACACGCACTCGTAGGCCTTGACACGCACTCGTAGGCCTTGACACGCACTCGTAGGCCTTGACACGCATTCATAGGCCTTGACACGCACTCGTAGGCCTTGACACGCACTCGTGGGCCTTGACACTCATTCGTAGGCCTTGACACGCACTCGTGGGCCTTGACACGCACTCGTAGGCCTTGACACGCACTCGTAGGCCTTGACACGCACTCGTAGGCCTTGACACGCACTCGTAGGCCTTGACACTCATTCGTGGGCCTTGACACGCACTCGTAGGCCTTGACACGCACTCGTGGGCCTTGACACGCATTCATAGGCCTTGACACGCACTCGTAGGCCTTGACACGCACTCGTGGGCCTTGACACTCACTCGTAGGCCTTGACACTCACTCGTAGACCTTGACACGCACTCGTAGGCCTTGATACTCATTCGTGGGCCTTGACACGCATTCGTAGGCCTTGACACGCATTCATAGGCCTCGACTCTCATTCGTAGGCCTTGACACGCATTCGTAGGCCTTGACACGCACTCGTAGGCCTTGACACGCATTCATAGGCCTTGACACTCATTCGTGGGCCTTGACACTCACTCGTAGGCCTTGACACGCACTCGTAGGCCTAGGCCTTGACACGCACTCGTGGGCCTTGACACGCACTCGTAGGCCTTGACACTCATTCGTAGGCCTTGACACGCACTCGTAGGCCTTGACACGCATTCGTAGGCCTTGACACGCACTCGTAGGCCTTGACACGCAATCGTAGGCCTTGACACGCAATCGTAGGCCTTGATACTCATTCGTGGGCCTTGACACGCATTCGTAGGCCTTGACACGCATTCATAGGCCTCGACTCTCATTCGTAGGCCTTGACACGCATTCGTAGGCCTTGACACGCACTCGTAGGCCTTGGCACGCACTCGTAGGCCTTGACACGCATTCATAGGCCTTGACACTCATTCGTAGGCCTTGACACGCACTCGTAGGCCTTGACAGGCATTCGTAGGCCTTGACACGCACTCGTAGGCCTTGACACGCACTCGTAGGCCTTGACACGCACTCGTAGGCCTTGACACGCACTCGTAGGCCTTGACACGCACTCGTAGGCCTTGACACGCATTCATAGGCCTTGACACGCACTCGTAGGCCTTGACACGCACTCGTGGGCCTTGACACTCATTCGTAGGCCTTGACACGCACTCGTGGGCCTTGACACGCACTCGTAGGCCTTGACACGCACTCGTAGGCCTTGACACGCACTCGTAGGCCTTGACACGCACTCGTAGGCCTTGACACTCATTCGTGGGCCTTGACACGCACTCGTAGGCCTTGACACGCACTCGTGGGCCTTGACACGCATTCATAGGCCTTGACACGCACTCGTAGGCCTTGACACGCACTCGTGGGCCTTGACACTCACTCGTAGGCCTTGACACTCACTCGTAGACCTTGACACGCACTCGTAGGCCTTGATACTCATTCGTGGGCCTTGACACGCACTCGTAGGCCTTGACACGCACTCGTGGGCCTTGACACGCATTCATAGGCCTTGACACACACTCGTAGGCCTTGACACGCACTCGTGGGCCTTGACACTCACTCGTAGGACTTGACACTCACTCGTAGACCTTGACACGCACTCGTGGGCCTTGACACGCATTCATAGGCCTTGACACGCACTCGTAGGCCTTGACACGCACTCGTGGGCCTTGACACTCACTCGTAGGCCTTGACACTCACTCGTAGACCTTGACACGCACTCGTAGGCCTTGACACTCATTCGTGGGCCTTGACACGCACTCGTAGGCCTTGACACGCACTCGTGGGCCTTGACACGCATTCATAGGCCTTGACACGCACTCGTAGGCCTTGACACGCACTCGTGGGCCTTGACACTCACTCGTAGGACTTGACACTCACTCGTAGACCTTGACACGCACTCGTAGGCCTTGATACTCATTCGTGGGCCTTGACACGCATTCGTAGGCCTTGACACGCATTCATAGGCCTCGACTCTCATTCGTAGGCCTTGACACGCATTCGTAGGCCTTGACACGCACTCGTAGGCCTTGGCACGCACTCGTAGGCCTTGACACGCATTCATAGGCCTTGACACTCATTCGTGGGCCTTGACACTCACTCGTAGGCCTTGACACGCACTCGTAGGCCTAGGCCTTGACACGCACTCGTGGGCCTTGACACGCACTCGTAGGCCTTGACACTCATTCGTAGGCCTTGACACGCACTCGTAGGCCTTGACACGCATTCGTAGGCCTTGACACGCACTCGTAGGCCTTGACACGCAATCGTAGGCCTTGACACGCAATCGTAGGCCTTGATACTCATTCGTGGGCCTTGACACGCATTCGTAGGCCTTGACACGCATTCATAGGCCTCGACTCTCATTCGTAGGCCTTGACACGCATTCGTAGGCCTTGACACGCACTCGTAGGCCTTGGCACGCACTCGTAGGCCTTGACACGCATTCATAGGCCTTGACACTCATTCGTAGGCCTTGACACGCACTCGTAGGCCTTGACAGGCATTCGTAGGCCTTGACACGCACTCGTAGGCCTTGACACGCACTCGTAGGCCTTGACACGCACTCGTAGGCCTTGACACGCACTCGTAGGCCTTGACACGCACTCGTAGGCCTTGACACGCATTCATAGGCCTTGACACGCACTCGTAGGCCTTGACACGCACTCGTGGGCCTTGACACTCATTCGTAGGCCTTGACACGCACTCGTGGGCCTTGACACGCACTCGTAGGCCTTGACACGCACTCGTAGGCCTTGACACGCACTCGTAGGCCTTGACACGCACTCGTAGGCCTTGACACTCATTCGTGGGCCTTGACACGCACTCGTAGGCCTTGACACGCACTCGTGGGCCTTGACACGCATTCATAGGCCTTGACACGCACTCGTAGGCCTTGACACGCACTCGTGGGCCTTGACACTCACTCGTAGGCCTTGACACTCACTCGTAGACCTTGACACGCACTCGTAGGCCTTGATACTCATTCGTGGGCCTTGACACGCATTCGTAGGCCTTGACACGCATTCATAGGCCTCGACTCTCATTCGTAGGCCTTGACACGCATTCGTAGGCCTTGACACGCACTCGTAGGCCTTGACACGCATTCATAGGCCTTGACACTCATTCGTGGGCCTTGACACTCACTCGTAGGCCTTGACACGCACTCGTAGGCCTAGGCCTTGACACGCACTCGTGGGCCTTGACACGCACTCGTAGGCCTTGACACTCATTCGTAGGCCTTGACACGCACTCGTAGGCCTTGACACGCATTCGTAGGCCTTGACACGCACTCGTAGGCCTTGACACGCAATCGTAGGCCTTGACACGCAATCGTAGGCCTTGATACTCATTCGTGGGCCTTGACACGCATTCGTAGGCCTTGACACGCATTCATAGGCCTCGACTCTCATTCGTAGGCCTTGACACGCATTCGTAGGCCTTGACACGCACTCGTAGGCCTTGGCACGCACTCGTAGGCCTTGACACGCATTCATAGGCCTTGACACTCATTCGTAGGCCTTGACACGCACTCGTAGGCCTTGACAGGCATTCGTAGGCCTTGACACGCACTCGTAGGCCTTGACACGCACTCGTAGGCCTTGACACGCACTCGTAGGCCTTGACACGCACTCGTAGGCCTTGACACGCACTCGTAGGCCTTGACACGCATTCATAGGCCTTGACACGCACTCGTAGGCCTTGACACGCACTCGTGGGCCTTGACACTCATTCGTAGGCCTTGACACGCACTCGTGGGCCTTGACACGCACTCGTAGGCCTTGACACGCACTCGTAGGCCTTGACACGCACTCGTAGGCCTTGACACGCACTCGTAGGCCTTGACACTCATTCGTGGGCCTTGACACGCACTCGTAGGCCTTGACACGCACTCGTGGGCCTTGACACGCATTCATAGGCCTTGACACGCACTCGTAGGCCTTGACACGCACTCGTGGGCCTTGACACTCACTCGTAGGCCTTGACACTCACTCGTAGACCTTGACACGCACTCGTAGGCCTTGATACTCATTCGTGGGCCTTGACACGCATTCGTAGGCCTTGACACGCATTCATAGGCCTCGACTCTCATTCGTAGGCCTTGACACGCATTCGTAGGCCTTGACACGCACTCGTAGGCCTTGGCACGCACTCGTAGGCCTTGACACGCATTCATAGGCCTTGACACTCATTCGTGGGCCTTGACACTCACTCGTAGGCCTTGACACGCACTCGTAGGCCTAGGCCTTGACACGCACTCGTGGGCCTTGACACGCACTCGTAGGCCTTGACACTCATTCGTAGGCCTTGACACGCACTCGTAGGCCTTGACACGCATTCGTAGGCCTTGACACGCACTCGTAGGCCTTGACACGCACTCGTAGGCCTTGACACGCACTCGTAGGCCTTGACACGCACTCGTAGGCCTTGACACGCATTCATAGGCCTTGACACGCACTCGTAGGCCTTGAC